CCTCTCCCCCTCCCCCCTCCCCCCCGGCACCCCGAGTGGCCAGCCAGCAAGGCAGTTATTTTCAGCCTGTTGAGGTTATCTTTTGGCCTTTCAATGACATCTTCCTTCAGTTTCACCAGAATAGCTCTTCTAATCAGCCACATTTCCCAGCCTTTTTTGTAGCATTCTCCCTGTTCAGCTCGCCTAGCTGTTGAGTTGTTCAGCAGCTCCCTGGTGAGGAGGAGGGACGGACCCTGGGAATCCCATGGGAAACAGTTTTATTACAAGATTTTTCCATACATTTATTTCATGCTTTGAATGCTTCCATCCTGAACCCACTAAAGGAACTGATGGAAGGGTATGGCTGGATGAGAACATTTGCTACCAGTAAGTAGCTTGAGAGTGGCAAACTAATAGAGGGATCTTGCTGTATAGCTAGGATGGGTAGTTGGGGCATTGCTGTGTAGCCTTGGGGTAAGGAGGGACATTGTTCTGTAACCCCAGGGTTAGAAAGGATAAGCCATTGTGGGGAGTGCATTGATGTATAGATGTGGGAAGGGAAAGAAGGATATAAGCAAGGCAAGGTGCCATATGCTTCAATATGTGCACTTCCTTGAAAGGACAGAAACACAAGCCTGATTTACATAGCTGGATATAGCAGTTGTTTTACTGCATGAAATCCTGACAATTATCGTACAACATGGGCTGCCGCTGCTTATCCCTTGTGATATTATAGACCTTTTGGGGCCCTAAGTGGGTTCCTTGATGTCTTGATGCACCTCTGACCCAGTTTTCCTAGTAAAGGGAAGTAAGTTGTTACTAGCACAAAAAGAACCTAGGGGAAATGAAGACCCAGTGCTTCAAGGATTTAGGATACCCCTGAGAACTCCTTGGACACCAATTTGTTAAACGGAATCTTTACTGCTTTCTAACAAAGGCCTTATAAAGAGAAGGAGTCCCCTAGGGGTTCTGCTAATGGAGACCACTCTTCATTATCCTAGGAAGCTAGGGGAGTTGGTTTAGGCAGGCAAAGGAATCAAGCCTTCCCCATGTCTTGTTCTATGTGGTGGTTGTATAAACTGGTTTCTTTGAGTGGCTGCCTAGAGGCAGTAGGTCTATATGAGTCAGAATCCCTTTGTTGGTGATAATCAAAACTAATTCGTGAGACCTCTCTGAGGATGCAGCTTTTCTTACTGTGGAGGAACCTCAGGTAACTTCTTGTGGAGATGGAAACTGAAGCCTGGCCCTTCTTTCTCTACACCGTGAATATTGTTAAATGAAAACAAAGCATCTACATACAACCACCTCACCCACCACCAGCCCTTCACACCCCAAAGCTTCTGCCTGGGTCAGGGAGCTGAGTTTCATGCTTCTACAATACGTTGGGCAGGAGGTATGAGATACATGAGATGGACACCTGCTGACCTGTCACCATAGCCTCTCAGGATTGAGACCCATATGCCCTCTGACACACACACTGTCAGTGTCATTTGAGTTCATATTTCCTGCACAGAATGCTGATGGCTTCCAGTGGGTGCTGTGATCAAGAAGGAAAATGAATCTATCTCTCCAATCCCTTTTGAGAATCTTTATGGGAAGGGTCCAGAGCATCCATAAGCTGTGTCTGTAACACCGATCATTTACTGAAAGGTTCGCCTGCTCAGATTCCAAAAAGAGGCAGTGGAGGTGCTTCTAGTATCCACAAAGCTTCATTGCCGCTGCAGCTGCAGAGACACAAGTTAATAGGAATCTAGTAAGCCCCCCCAGTGATAGAAGCACAGGAGAAGCCACCTTTGAATGATTGCTGCCTAACAAGGAAGAAGACCTGAGAATAGTAGGAAGGTGCCAGTGACCACTAGTTTTTTGAGATCAACATAGTGAGGAATAGGAGTTCCCAGCTCCTAGGAAGATCTAGCGAATAGAATTCTGGTAATTATGGTGGGCAGCAACATAATTATTGGTGAGGAAGGATTTCTGGGGTATCCTTGAATGGTACCTTGATGAAGACAGAGGAGACTAATTCTGTGTAGAAAAAGAAAATTAAAAGACGAAGCTATATGATCACTGTGCAAAGGACACTTTTTCCAGGGTTGAAGGTAAGAGAGCTTCTGAAAATGGGTATGTGAACAAGAATATGTAGTTAGTTAAATTTTGAAAATAAGAATTATGGGCATAAAGAAAACTGAACTAGACTACTGTATGTCTGTACTAGGAATGTTATGGCAGCACAGCTGCAGCTGCGCCACTATAGTTATAGATACTTAGTACAGCAATGAAAAGGGTTCTTCTCTTGCTGTGGTAAATCCCTCTCTCCGAGAGGTAGTAGCTGAGTCTGGAAAAATTCTCCTGTTGACCTAACAGTGTCTACACCAAGACTTGAATCGGCTGAATTATGTTTCACTGAAGGTAAATTTTTTGCAGACCTGGACGATGCATTTAAACTGACTTAACCTTTGTAGTATAGACCAGCCCCTAGTTCAGGGGTGGCCAACCTGTGGCTCCAGAGCCACATGTGGCTCTTCAGAAGTTAATATATGGCTCCTTACATAGATACCAAATCCAGGGCTGGAGCTACAGG